CCCCAAAACCCCAAAACCCCAAAACCCCAAAACCCCGGAAATTTATAAAATTATTGAATACTTTGAAAATGAACTACTCTTTTAAACCTTTAGTCTTTCCTCTTAAAATGGAATGTCCAAGCTGAAAGTCTAAATACAACACCCAATTCCATATGCCAAGGGTTCTTACAAAATGAGGTCATTCACTATGTGAGAAATGCATTCGAAAAATAATTATAAGAGTCGAACAGGGATATACACAGAATTGTAAAGAATGAGGGAGTTTAATAACCTATGACACTTCAGTACCTGCAAAAGAGTCCAGTCAGCTCAGTGAAGATTATATCCACAATATTGTTCATACTTTTCCTAAAAATCTTGCTCTTTTGAAAGATTTCAAGGTTGATCAAAGTCTGAGCACCCTTGAGCATCAAATGAACTGCGAAAACAGCAAAACTAAGGAAACTCAACAAACAGAAGAGGAAGATAAGGGCAGTGACGAAAATTTCTGTGAAGACCACCCAGAAAAATTAATCGAAGCTTTTTGTGTTGATGATTCATGCCTCCTTTGCCTTGAATGAATCCTCTCAAATAATCATCGTGGGCATGAGGTCTCATCAGTTTCTCATGGATATTCAATTCAGAAAGGAGAGATTGAAGAGTTGAGACATTTAAATGCAACCAAACTCAAACAGATAGATGAGTGCAAAAATTACCTTCAAACAGAATTGGTGAGTCTGATCGAGTTCGATAGGAAATAAGAAGACATTGATTGATAAACTCTATCAGAAAATTACTGATACTATAGAGCTCTGACGACTAGAGGACCAATTCCAGAGACAAGATGATTACAATGACAGGAAGGATAAAATATCGCAAGGTCTCCTTGAATCATCTAATTGCCGAAATGAGCTCAAAAATCTTAAATTTGATCTTGAGGAACTTGAAAGTCTTTCTCAAATCAGATTACTGAGGAAATTTAGCTTCAATAGTATGAAGAGCAAACTTGAGGATTGAAAAATTCCTCAATGTCTGTTTAAGGTTCATGAGAGCTTAGATATTTCAAAAATAATATCAAAAGTTCTTACAAACATATCTTCAATTACTACCAAGAATGAAGAAAATAGGCATACAAGAAATGATCTATCAGCTAATATAACCTCCACCAGAATTAACCTTCATTCTAATGAAAATTCTCTAAGTCAGAATCGAAGTAAATCTGCTCTAAAAAGTTCTTCAAAATGAAGAAAAGTTAGCAGGATAAGGAAGAACAGTAAGAAAAGTTCAAGTAGGATTAATCTCAATGGAACTCCTCTTACAAGAAATTACCCAAATCAGACCAACAAGAAGGTTAAGAATAATGGCCACAACACTCTTGCAGATGATGTTTATGGGGAGATCACTAAAATCCTTCCACATAAAAACAACAGAAATGATAGTCTCGGGAATCTTCATAAAGTTTCTCATTCTAAAGGAAAAGTTGCCAGAACTCAAGTCCATTTGTATGATCTAAGTATCAATAATGAACTCAAACCAGGAATCAAGAACTTGAAAACTAGTGATTCTGATGGCTTATCTTGAAAACTGACGACTAAGAAAGAGACATGAAGAGAAGTAGGACATATAAATTTAGTTGTTGAAGACAAGAATAATACACTTCAGAATGACAAGAAAGAAGTTAAACAATACCCAGAAGTAGTCTATGGTAAACTCATTGCTTAAGATTTTAGAGCCAATTTTTTCTACAAGATCAGCTGTTAAAAGCTTAAAAAGTTCAAGTTTCGCCAAAGTGAGTATACCTAACCTTCAAGAGGTAATTTCGATAATAATGTTCAGGTTCGAAACAAAGCGAAACAAGAGAAATTAGATAAAAAGCGCTTGGAAAGTCAAGAGAGAATTGAAAACATTCCAGACGATTATCATGAAAATATTAAGATATCTGAGATCAAAGAAAGTAAAAACCAAAGTAAATTATCAATGATGATTTAGAAGAGAAATGCTTAAAAAATCTATCAATTAGACAGTCCAAAGAAAATAGAAACAAAGCATGAAGAAAGGGAGTTACTGGTTTGAAGACTTCTGATCGAAAGAGTTCAATCTCTTTGTTAATCCACCCTTATAAACCTGATCCAATAGTATCTCCTTATGCAGGCTTAAGTGATATTTCAAAACAAGAGAAACCAAAGAAGCATGGCTATTTTAGAATAGAAGAAGAATTAAACAAAACTTCTAAGTTTGACAACAGTGACAGAGCTTTCTCAAATCCAAGATCGCTACAAAAACAAAATACTAATAAAAGTAGACACTTCCAGATTCGTCATGAGCCTTCCAGTTTAGGGTCAGTTGCTACATTTCAAAAACTAATGAATGATTTTTCAGATGGGAAATGAAAACCAAAAGAAAGTGCAATTAAAGAAAGGGATAAAGAAAGTATCAATACAAAAGCTGGTGCACTTAAGAAATATATGTCCTCAGGAGTGTCTTGCCCCAAAAACGCATTTTAAAAAGGTTAATCGACAGAAAAGAGAAAGATCATATGTTGATGAAAGAAAAGATATTTCTCTGTATAATGCTTCTTCAGATGACAAAAATAGACCATGCCAGAAGAAAAATCTTCATGCAACTAGCTTTATTAATACAAGTAACTCTGGAGATAAAGCGAGAAGGTCTAAGTTTAGACCTATGACTCAGCTAAAAATGTCTTCATGAAAGTTGACCAAAGGACTTCCTTTTGAGAAAATTAACCAGAAAGTCGATGTGCCAAGTATAGAATTTGACTTTGAAGACTGCATGGATGAAGGAGCCTGACTTTCTTCTACTGTCGAAGAGGTCGAAGTCATTGAAGAGGTCCTTTAAAGTGTGAATTTAAGGGACTAGTATTCACAAGATTTCATGATTTCAATTATCTTTCAGCCAAAAGGGGTTTTGGGGTTTTGGGGTTTTGGGGTTTTGGGG